TATCAACTAATAATCAAATCGATCAATCTATCTCTGAGTTGATCTTTCACATGTTTATCGGTTTTGAAGTGAAATGAACTGCTGACGTAATTAGAAGAAGACTTTGTAATTATATATATATATATATATATATATATATATAATTACAAAGTCTTCTTCTAATTACGTCAGCAGTTCATTTCACTTCAAAACCGATAAACATGTGAAAGATCAACTCAGAGATAGATTGATCGATTTGATTATTAGTTGATAACGTTCAACGAGCAATGATCAAGCTCCTTAACATACAGAATGAAACAAACCCGAACATGACAGTACAGCTATGATACAATTATAATCTCCAGGAAACAGCAGCACACATAATAATGAAACTGATTCCAAACGAAACAAAAATACTATTCACTGAGGAGCGCTTCGTCGGTGTGCACTCACCCACATCGTCGACATAATACACTAATATTGTTATAATTATAATACGACAATAGCGTTAATGTAAAGGATGTCATCAACTGCACGTTTTCAATTTCATTACTTCATGAAAATTTTTAATTATTTGCAACGTTGAGCAAAAGAGTGGTTTCAAATTGGTTGAGCAAAACCTACGCGTTCATTGTAGTGACATTAAGATTCGAATCACTCACAATTTTTGGTCCGCAAACATGTCCGAATTCAAATAAGCAAATTGCTATGACCAGTATCTTAGCGATATGACTGTCTATAGAAACAGCAATACAGAAACCCTGACGATACGGTAAATGATACGTCAGTCATAACAATCCATTTTGAAAGAATGATGATGAAATAGCATATTTTCACCTCCATATGGATAGCAGTAGTGATATCAAGGAGGACAACGAGAATATCATAATGAGGAATTAATATGAACATACAGTTCCAGAAGAAGACAATCTCAACTAGAACAAAGCCAACAGCTGAAGATAAGATATGGAGCGAAAAGTGATCAGCGACGAAAGCTGATAGTTTTGATACTTCAAAAGCGAAAACACATTATCTAAAACATGTTTATATGGGAGGTATTCGTTAAGTGACTGAAAAGAATGATGCTTTCAATTCTAGTTGACCATTCATAACACACAATAAACACCAACTAAATGAACGAAGATGTAAAACATAAGCGAAGTGATATGGCCATTCTCAATCGATAGCACGATCACATTAAAATTTTCATAACTATTCAAATCAGCGAAAATTCTCTTGAAACTATTCATCAACGCATTACTACCACTACTGTTTCTTTATGAATACTACGACAGTTTGCAGAAAATAAACTTTGTCAGATATTCTTTTGAGAATGGCGATAAGTTATCAAATACAGCTTATTGCTAAACAACAATAAAATTAAGAAGTACAAAAAAATCACGAGTTAATCACAGAATAAGCGACGGAAGTGAAAGGCCATGTTCAAAATAAACATTTAAAATAATAATATTTACATGCAATACACAATGAATGATTTAAATAACCATTAAAATAGCATATATCGTCACGCCATAAAAATAGATGCATATTGATATAATATCAGATTACTTATATATATGCTTATCGCTTGAATGAGTGTTATTTCATCATTACTACACTTCTAATTATTTCACCCTAATATCCAACTTTATATCATCAGCTTGGAGTTGTTCACTTGAAAGTGCAACATACCTTGAAATTTCGCTAAGTTTATCAATCTAATTGAATAGTTTACTGGTGTAGATGTGAAATTCTGTGAACAATGTCTATTGGGCAATTCGATTATTTTAAGAAATCCAAAAAAATTATAAGATGGTGAAATCAATCTATTTCGGAGAATTCCTTCAGTAATTTTATTACCTTACCTGAATGACTAATATAAACAACAACGGCTTGAAAAAAAAAAAACTTTGTCTGGGCATAGAACTCCTCTTATGTAAACAAAAACGGTATTAATTATGCGCTACAGAATATCTGATTTAAGCATTAAAAAAACCTTAACTACTTATAAAAAGTGACGAAGCGAACGAAAAAGCAGGAGATATAAACGACAATTAATGATGATTATTGCTATACGAGCAGAATGTTTCATAGGACAACATTGTGTCGAAGAAATGAATTCAACGATGCACATCTTAAGAACGCTTTTTATTGGCTAAACTAACTAAACTGACACAAGAACGTGTGAATGGCATGCCTAACGAATTGAGCTCTTCTTCAAGATATTCACACTGCATAATGTCATGACAAGACGGACGAGCCTTTGGATCCAGTTTTGTTAGCCATGAAATGAACTCCAGCTGAAACAATCAATAAACTCAAGGAAATTTTCAAATTACGTAAAGAAAACAAAAATCAAAGTTTTACATAAAATGAATTTTTTTGCCTCTCGGATGGCTTAAGATAAGCAACTGTTCTCACGAAAGAGAATATCTTGAAAAATGCCAATCGCATTAATCAGAAATTATACACCCGGAAAACAGATTCAAACATAAAAAATTTTTCTTTCTGAATGAGCTTCATCTTGAAATGAACTATTTTTTTTTGTCACAGAACAAGTGATATGTGCAGAAAAGAGAAGAATCATAAGTGCAAAAACAGTCAGGTAGCACCTCCGATGTTCGCTTCCTAAGATAAATATTAGGAAGAATTCCACTTTGAAGTTTCGATAGTGTTAAATTTCGTTCCATAATAGTTTGAAACGGTATGAGCATTTCGGTGAAGATTAGTCCCAATGAGAAAACGTCGATTTTTTCATCATAAGTACAACCTTTCAACTGAAAAGTGATGAATTTAGGATCGTTCTAGGACATTTTACTTCAAATGACGCAATCTGCTTGATCAATGGTACGCTTACAATCATTTATAACAAATGGCTCACGACTGAGCACTACCACAAAATTTATTTAAGGAAAAGTCACACAACTGAAATTACAAATAAAGACCTGCTCAGGGCTCATATAGAGTCGAGTTCCGACATTGCCAGTATGACGATTATAACCAATACCCTCATTCTCTCGTGCCTCTTCACCTGTTTCTGCTGTCACGTAATTGGTCGCTAATCCAAGGTCACCTATTTTCAGAATGTTCATGACGTCAGCCGAGAAGAAGATATTTTGCGGCTGAAATGGATTAAATGAAATGAACACTATTAAAAATAATCAAGCAAACAATTCAGATGACTCCCAACAGAAAATAATTTATTTTAGTTTAGTCGCTCACAAACTACGAAAACTCTTACTGCGTATCTAAAAAAACGTAAACATTAGGAGAAAAACATACGAACAATACAAGAGGAGGGGACTCTAAAATTGAGGAATCGCAAGGTTTGGCTTGTATGTTTGAGTAAAACGGTGACAGACTTGAATTAATTGTATGCATTTATGGAAATCAAAAGGCAATCTCGATTTACGAATTGAAATAAAGTTCTCGGATTTCTATAAATAATTGGAATTCAAATGANTTTATAGCAGGATTAGTAAGTGTATATGAATGAGAAATATAAATCAAACAAAATGAACCTAATTCAAAAATTTGTATTATGCGAAAGCAATCGAAAATTGAATGGAAGCGAATCTGGAAAACCTTTAAATCGCGATGAATGAGACCCTGATCATGAATATAATCAATGGCACACACCAATTGTGCTAACCAATTTCGGATTCGTTCCAACTGTCGATCTTCTTGGCGATTATTCAGTAATAACCAATTATGCAATGTTAATTCTTGACATAACTATAACAAACGCAACTTCATTTATAGATACACATGACATTCACTTAATATCAAACAGCAACGCAATGCGTAATTACCTGCATTGAACGAACAAAAAATGTGAATGTAAATGAAGAACGTAAAACGTAAATGAAGAACGAACAATAAACGAACCTCCATCTGAATGTAAAAATAGACGAAATCTTTTGTTTTTTTACAAGTATGCAAGTCTGTTTCACTAGCTACAAGAACTGCGGGCGGCTCAAGAGCACCTGATGAGTTGCTAGAGAGTGATTTCCGGGAGTGCCCAACTGCTTGATCTTCTTTTGAACACGTCTCGTTTTCGAACACAACGTCTGATGATTCGGTGTTTACACCTAACAAAATTCCTTTTAATTGACAACGTAGTAAGTANAACTCAACTTCATTCAGTTGAATCTCATTAACTGAACTGTACCACATCATGAATGAAAAGTTCGGTTGAGCAACGTATGAACAAAACAATAACCTCGATTCTGACAAATCGAAAGAGCATCGTTATTGTCTGACGAGTCTGAATCGCTCGATGAGCACGCCGTACCTTCAGAGCTGTTCGCGTTTTGATTACCATCATCGTCAGCCCACGAATCAGATACGGTTTCAGATGGCACCAATGGTACGTCACCTCTTGCCTCCCAGTTTTGCATCTTCATTATTCCATTCCCTATCAGTTTATTGTTCAACGAGGACCATTCGCCCACGGTGCCACATCGATTTTCGTTCATCACACCTTGCGTTGACTTGAAAAAAAAAACACAATGGATATTGAAAAACCAAACGACAAACAGTTTGACTTGAAATATAAGTCAATATTAAGACTGAATATAATAGCGAATACAAAAATGAAATAAAATGCAAATGAATACGTAAATAAGGCAAAACAGAACAAACTATGGTTGCCAACGATTCTTTAGAGCGAAGATGAAAAACGCCATCCGAACTTCGTGTTGCCGACGATGAATTAAATGAATCAGAAAGCGCACGTCTGAAACGAGAACAAAGTGAATTTGATGTAATCAACTTTAATTTTCGAAATCTTTATAAATCGTTTTAATGCGGAAAAAAATGAAACGAATAAGTTGATCACGTCAAATATCAACAAGTGAATTTGTCTAAATACTGTAACATTAACATAGACAATAACTTAATGATGATGACGATACATGAAAAAATCGGCAATAAATCATTTTGAAACTTACATATTTTTGAGAATTTCTTTATCTTTAGTTTGTTGCCAACCCTCTGGTGGTCGTTCCATCCACGTGTGATAATAGCGGATAATGCCAGGATGATCCAGCTTTGCCATTGCTCTAGCCTCTCTCTTCACTCGTTCGATAGCTGACGCACTGAAGCATAAACGAATAAACTCACAACAATCATGATGTTCAAATAGTCAATGAGTGAACTGCAAGCAACAAGAAATCGAATCGTATCAACGTTCTACTATTCACAACAATTATACAAAATTGCATCTTCTTCTGCATCTGCAACAAATAGTTCAGCAGAACAAATTTTCTATTTTGATCAATAATCCACATCTGCGGTCGAAAAAGAGCATCAAATGAAGTCAAGAAGACAAATCAATGACAACCAACGTGTCGCTAACTGCAATCCGTTTCACCGCATAGCTGCAATCGTCCAGACGATGTCTACAGTTGAACACAACACCGTATCCACCTTTGCCAAGCAATTTCTCGGGAATGAAATCTTCGAGGAATCTGCAAAAAAATACAAACCAGTCTCTTTTCAGTTCAATTCATCAAAAATCACAGCGTTTTTAAATTTAAAAAACTGCACGGGAACTAATGACGTCCTCAAAAAAAATGTTTGCACAAAAAAGCGATACAAAACAACCGCTTTAAATTGCCTGATTTCAGTCCACACGAGTAAGTAAAATAAAGTGTTTATCAAACGCAAAAGTGACGGATCAAAAAAGATGCATAGATGAATACTTCGATGAGAAAGGATCAGGTACGGCTTGTGATGCAGTTGTACTAGTTGTTCTGTGCGTCGACGATGATTTTCTTCTAAGTGCTAACGGTTCATTGGGTGAAGAACATACGGTTGAACTAGTTGCGATTGACTTCAAAAAAAGAAATACTCTCACAGTTAATCAATCAAACACACACACACACATATTGAAAACTATCTATCAAAATATTCAAAAAGCGCAAATATAAGTTCAGATTAACCGTTTTTTATCAACTACCTTCAGAAACATATTTAAGAAACATATCTGCCTGTCAACATATTTAAAGCAGTAAATTGCTGAGACTCTTTTAAAAAACAAAGCGAGGTATTAAAATAAAAAGAACACACAGATGCAGATCGTTTCAGTGAACTTTTTGCCAGCGTACTCTCTTCAGAAGTAACTGCATCTGAATTATTTTGCAAGTGACCTAATCGATGTCGGAAATGTAGTATATAAATCAACACTATTGTACACATCGGAATAAGCATCACGCTTAATGCTAACGCACCAATACGCCTGCAATAACAAACATAGTGGTAATGATAATGAGAAATAAACTGATCAAGTTCATATATACATACACATACAACAAATCCTAAACAACAAACTGAAATGATGTTCCTTGAAAAAAATGAGTCAACATATTGANTCACGCTTAATGCTAACGCACCAATACGCCTGCAATAACAAACATAGTGGTAATGATAATGAGAAATAAACTGATCAAGTTCATATATACACATACAACAAATCCTAAACAACAAACTGAAATGATGTTCCTTGAAAAAAATGAGTCAACATATTGATGAGTTGATTCAAAACAAGCAACGCTAACCACCATCCAGAGACTGGTTCATCAGCATTCAATTTTTTCCTGACTCGTTCAATGAGATTCGTTCTCCTACGGCCATTGTTATTATTGCCAACATTGCGCTCGTATCGTCCATTCGTCGGCATAGCACTGTTTCGTTGACGTCTACTAATCGATTTAAACACAAACCAACCTAAGTCACCTGAACACGATTGGGTCAATGCACGCACGTATCACGCAAATGAAAAGTGATACCTCTGCGTTGTTCATTTCCAAAACCGACTCGCTGTAAGTCAGTGCTTTCAGCGAGTAAAGGCGCATCACTCATCGGACAACTACGATATCCTCGATAGTTCGTCACTGCACCTGGCTTAATTGCACCCGACGCATCGTAGGCACGTCGAATCAGGTTTGCTGTAACCAAAACACTTATGCGCTGCACACATTACTGAATGTAAAAGCACTCACTGATGGTGATATCATGTAAATAAAGCGCACGCCCATAGTGCGTCAGATCCGCACCGTACGGTTGAAATCGAGCATTTTCTTTGGTTAGAGCAAATCGACGTAAATCTTCGCGTGCATTTGCCGACGGAATTATATAAGGCTCTGAGTTTACGGTACCTTCAATAAACTATTTTTTACTATCAATTCATTAATTTTTTTCTGCTTCTATTTTTCAGCATCAAAAATATTGACTAAATTATTCAGAAAAATTATATACGATATATGTTGAAGTTAATAGCTACCAAAATAGAAAGGTGCTTCAATTTTTGGCATATCTCGTTGATCCTCGTAGTTTTGTCCTTCTGGCGTTTCCACATTGTTCGAATCGAATAAAGATATCTGAACAGAAAAGATGCCTGAATTAGCTGAGAACATAAGCAATCTGAATTTGATCATTCGAATACGATTTTGAAAGGAAAAGGGAATGATGAATTAAACACAATATCACTTGCCTCATGAACACGACCGTTAATCAGTTGCCAAACGCGAGCGATAGGACTGTTCAAGTCTCGTTCCCACATCGGATCACCTCCACCGTTGAACGCCGATACGACGCCATCAGGAGGACGCAAACGAAATCGTGTCATTGACGGGTTCGGTTCGAAGAAATAATTATTCAACGATCGATCCGAAGAAGCTAACGATATTGAGTATTCAGCCACCGATAAATTCCATCTGAATAAGATATTATACAATAATCCTCTAATAAAAAATAACTATCACTTGAAAACCTGAACAGTAACAGAAATGCTCTCACTTGAGCGTTTAACTATAATACCATTAAAATATCCGGTGTTTAAGACAATAAAAAGCAATGAAATATACTAAAACCTCATTTGATCATAATCACTCTGATTCACAATAACTGGTGTTCAGTATATTTTTCCTACTGTTTTGCGATGAACTTATTTTGATTTCATAACAGCTCACTTCTAGAATAAACATTAAAAAGCAACAAAATTGTTCTCATTCGAGAAATAACACGCCTCTCAGATCCACTCACTGGATCAGCTGCGCGTGCCACTTGTGTGTTACGACGAATGATGAGTGTATAAGGTGTACGATTTGAAGCGGTCATTTGTGCACAATTTTCTGTTGTACAATGATAACGTATCTGAATATTTCACATTTTAATCAATCCTTTAACTGAATGCAATCAAATTTCATTCACTTTCTAATTTTCATGAAGAAAAAAACTGATTTGATTGATGTATCAAACTGCTTTCTAATCAGTAAATATGTAAGATTCGTGCACACCTGACCAGTGATGGGATCAACACCAGTCGTTGATACAATAGTACCACCCGCAACTGCATCCTCCCCAATCATCACACTGATATCCGTATTCACAGGAATCGGATTCAACGCGTTACTATCCATATTGAACATATATAATGATCCGTCTAATGATGGCACTAGCATATATGGATGACCATCAGCAGTTAGCTGAAATGTGTAAAATTTCGTTTTACTTTCACTTGATCATTTCTTAATTCATATTCAAAACTCTTTGCACACAGCAACAATCACCGACAACCAATGGAATAGCACTGAAGTGGCGCTAACATCTGAAGTTTGTTTCTTGTTCCATTGTACATTTAAAATTTTATATGCCGTTGGCATTTGGAAGTGAAGAAAGTGAACTTATGTTCGCTTTTTTGTCCTTACAAAGTCAAAAGTTCAGTGACCGCAAACCGCAAAGTGGTCTATAACTAGTTTAAATGAACCAGAATAAGAACTATCAAGAGTGCATGAAGAGACAGTAAATGACGTCTTCTCTTTCACGCAAATTCGCTCAAAATAAAGCGAACTTTTCATTTGTTTAGAAATTCAATGAAGAGAATTTCATTTCGAGTGATACGCATTACAATAAAAATGAATGCGTCTTATACTTAAAGCATCAGGAAGTTGGGAAGGAAAAAACAACAGAACAAAATGAAGTTTTACGAATAAACTGGATTGAAGTTCTACTGATCGTGAGATGGAGTTTCTTCAACGTCGGTATTCACAAACGAGTCATTTCAATAAGATGAAAATTCATCACGTGTAAATTGTCAACGCAATACCTGAAGAGAGTTGAGAGTACCGGAAAGAAGAGGTGATGAATCGGTATCAGCTGTCCACGCAATTCTCCCATGTGAATTCACATCTAAAGCTGTCACCTTGCCATCCATCGTACTTACCTTAACATTGAAATACTCACTTAGTGCTCATTAAATTCTGGGCAGACTATTATCAAATTTGATATTCCACACCAACTCTCAAACAAGACAATATGAATACGCAAAAATTTTCACCGGTCGAATTGATGTGGTGGGATATTTTATGATTTTTCGTTCGTTTAAGGAGAAGTACGCTTGATTCTATTAGAACTGAAATCTGTGAAGATATAAGACTTCAGATATGAATAACTTCTAAAAAAACAGCTTAATTACAAGGATGTAATTGGTGTTCAGAAGTCGACCAATTATGCCTTCTCTACACCATGAATCAGTTTTGGAAACAGTCGAAGTCGGTACCGATGGAGTGACCTGAAAATACTTTTAATAAGAGAATAATTGACAAAATTACAGCAAATTTACAATCCGTAAGAAGATTGGAGTTATTCTGTATTCGTCGGCAATTTTACCTCTTCAGAATCGCACTTGGCTTCACATATTTAAAATGTTCTGATCATTTGGGTATATTTTATCCTCAAATGATTAGCACTCCTAGATTTAATAAGAATTCAGTTCGAGGCAGCGGAAATCGATCGAAATTTTTTCGAAACATCCTAATTACGATGTTCCAAATGGATCAACAGATATAATTTCGAATTTGTGTAAGTCGAACAATGAGCACGAATTTAATTGCAATCTATGAACAGAAAATTGTAAAACTGAGAAAGAATCATAACACTGAAGTGTCTGTTTATTGTTTCAACAATAAGTTTACTTTGATCAATTGTGCAAAAGAAGAAACCTCATCAATCTCATCTTCAACAAGCAAGTCGTCTTCTCCACTCACAGCAGATAACAAAAACAGGACATATGCGCCAACTAATGATGAGACAAAAACCACTGATATCCAACTACGCATTCCCATCAAGCCGGATTAATTTACGAACAATTCCGTGAATATGGCCTACGGCCATCCACTTGTTCCAATAACTACCAATACTTCACCTTCAATCATCACTTATTACCGAATGCACTTTTCCAATACCTAATAGAATATTTTTATGGTTCACTCAGAGAAAATTTAAGACTGACGCTGATAAACGTGCATTCGTCTAGTACTGCTAGTTCCATTCTTAAAATTACTAAAATTTCATTACTTATTGTCGTCGAGCATGCTTTTTCCTGAATGAATAATAATGTTCTAAATATTATTCTTATAATAACGATAGTAAAAATAATAACAATAAACAACAGTATTAATAATAATAAATAATAATAACAATAATAAACAATAATGATAAATAATAATTAATAATAACAATAAAAAATGATAGTATGAATAATAATGATAGGAATGATAAGAATGATAAGTAATAATAACAACAACAATGATAATAACAAATAATAAATAACAATAATAATAGTAAGTAATAACAATAATAATAATAATAATAATAATAACAATATTAATAATCCGAAATATCACGAAACGTTGTCAATGAAAATCAATTAAATATGAAGACGAAATGAATGGATGACAGCTCAGAAAGGGGATGTAACCATGAAAAAAGCAGCAAGAGAGAACAAAACAGACGTGATGAGTGAACGAAGTGCACGTTTGATGGTTCGCTGATCGCAATACGTGGCGAGGACGTTCACAATGAAGTTTTCAAAGGTAGACGACGGATTAACATGAACACCAGTTGGCCGTCACCTGAACTTGCACTGGTTGAATTTGGTTTTGCTATTATGGGTGGATGGATGGATGGATGGCAGATGGAATACTTTGCTCTTTAAAGAAAATTTATGGAGAACTTGTAAAATATGTCGCGTTGTTTAGTGCATGAACGTGATTAGCAATACGGCTATCGTGCCTGCTGTCATACTGCGAATTTTGAAATTAAGCGACAGCCTTTGAACAACAACAGTGGACCGTTACAACTGATAAGGATGAAACAAATACAGTCACGCAACACAATTTCCCATTAATTATGACTGTCTTCCGATCAGGTGATAGGCATTTATTTATTCAATAACGTCACTGGAATGAAGAAGTTCAGAAAAAAAAATGGAATGAAACGTTTTCGAAATGAAAATAAATTTCTCTCTCAAGCAAGCGTATCACCATATTTGATTCATTCCATAATTTCATCATATTTTTATGAAACTGATGAAGCTGATACAAATAAAATTTTTTTGTTTTATGGCTTTTTGTAGCTGAATAAACAAAATTTTAGATTATAATGCAAATTTTACGTCAAACGTCCGTTTCACTGTATACGAGAGAAAATTATGACCTAAATAAAATTCTTAAACTTATTGAGAACAATATAAATTTGTTCACTTAAGCTTCATTTAGTATCGATCTAAAAAACAACCGAATAGCGCAATCTCATTCATATAACAGGATCATGTTCAAATTTTCATCATCAATTCTCTTTAATATTCATATTCTCGACTGCATTGATGCTGTACATTATATGCACAAAAAATAATACCATGAAATGAAGCGAACCATTTGTAAAATCCAAAATGTACGACTGTCAATGTAATGCCAACGTAAAAAATGTTACGAACATTTTTCGTTAACTTATAACAACCCCTTCCAGTATTAAAAAACCATATTGTATATGTCAATGAATGCAGTCATTCTGAAGTGTAATATTTACGGATAACACTCATGTTAGGCGATAGCCTATTCAAGGAAGATAAAATCACTTAATTGTCTTCAAATCATAAGCAAATCAAGCTTTTACATTTAGCATCATGTGCATTGATAGTTTCTGCGATTAGATATGATGCTTATTTTGATAGAAAATAGATTATTTACGAAACACATTACTTATATTGAGTTTTCTTGACGAATTATTAATACTTACAACAGTCACTTCACATATAATAAAACTGTGCAATTCAAACAATCCATAATTTGAACCTTCAGTTATTACAGCTCATTTGTCTGCTCATTGAACCTCAAATGATGGGAATGTTGCCCCAGCTTGATGAATTTATTGTGATTCATTTGAGGCTATTTTATCACACAGATGGATCTATACTGTGCGAGACTGAGGTGGGCAATGATTTGACTTGATATTACAGAAGTTTGATTAGGTACGAATTATTCAGATAGTTAGCCATGAACGAATGCTACTTCAATTTCACCTTTAAAAATGCCTGTTGATTTGTCAGTATTAATAATGCGACTAGATGACATGATTCGTTTTATTAAAGCAGACAGTTTGTATCATCATCTGAAACCGTTCGATCACACTATCACATTCTCAGTTGTGACTGCAGCAATGTTCCATTCACAATAAATTGATTGCCCTCAAATAAGGCTCACTGTGATTGAGCATTAATTTCTTTCATTCCTACAATATCCTGAAAATAAGGATGAATGAGAGAAGAAGGATAAATGAGATTAATGGAATTTTAATTTAAGTAACAACGAACTGATATTCTTTGGCAAACGGCATTGCGAAATTTAATCTGAAAGCAATCGTAAATGACTCATTTCATCGGTAGTATCCAAAAAAGTACCTCATTATCAGTTGAACTATCAACTACTTGCGGTGAACAAATGAATGAAGTGCTCGACACTGGAGATGAATTCGTTTGTTCCTCTTCATCAACTGTGAATAACGTTGAGATAAAGCTTGTTGCTGATTTTTGGGCATTCAGTTGATTCCTTCTCGATGAATTCTGTGTCGAATATGCATCAGTCACATCTAAATAAGTAGTCGATCTGAGAAAAAAATCTCTCATTTGTAAGAAATGCTCGCTTCCAAGCAAACTAGAATTCCGCTTCCTATCGTTATTCTCGTGTCATAAAATAGTTAAGATGTTAGGATAACACAGTTCTTTCCGTTCAGAACTCAATTTTTCATTTTTCATAATCTCCTTCAACAAATAAATGAATTAACTATGGTACTGATTCAAACATAGATCAGTCATACTGTACATATTCACAAAACATTGCCGTACATTGTACCTCATTTATGAAAAAACAATTTATTTCTATTCATTCACCAATATCTCATTGTCAGTGAAAATTTTTCTCTGACAAAGTAAAGTGGAATCAAATATTTCTTGAAAATATTATATAAACAGATGAAAAGATAGCAAGGAATGTACCGCTTATTTTGGAACAACATGGAGATGATTGTGGTGACGCCGATGAATTAAAATCGTATAATGCTGGAAATAAAATCATTTTTGATAAATCATTTAATGATAGAATATTCATATTTTCATTCAGCAATATGCAACTGTTATCGTTGCGTACCGCATGCAAGCTATACAACATGACGACGATAGCAAATTAAACGGACTGTAACATGATGCGCTTCTGCATTCTGGGACTGCATCATTATTATTGTTAAACGGATTTGTTGTGTTCGAATCACCACTTTGATGAAATCCACTTGAATAGCTATCTATATTTAATGATTGTGCCATCGGATGATGATTCTTGTAAGGACGTCTAGGTCGTTTTCTACAAATTTCAATAGAATTTCAGTATCGAATACCTTTTGAATAATTCATTCTAATTCATTTAAGCAAATCCAGCTTAATAGTCATATACAAACGAATTATAAAGGTAGATACATACGTTTCCGAGTGGATATTTTTCAGACTCAATAAGTACGTGAATCAAAGCATAAGTCAAAATATGATAACATATGTTAGATACAGGGAAGATTATGAGCAGCTCGAAGAGCACCGCATGCAAGAATATAAATCATTCAATGTCTCATCAAAATATAAACAGAAATTGAAAATGATCTTTGCATCATCATTTTACCTCATGTTACTTTCAAACTTTTTTAATGCAGTTTTTTGATTGAAGTTGCTGATAAATTAGTTGATGAGCTTAGTGAAACAAACAGAAAGAAGACTCCATTCGAAAGACATTTTTCGTCAATTGTAGTATTAGCTCAGTGAACTGCTTTCAATAATGCTCAATTAAGTTGCTTCCTTACTGATCGAATCGAACCGAACTTGAGGATATTTGTCTTGAGAAACGTTGTCTGCGCGAGGCAATACGTGACTGTGATGTAGAAACGCTCGTTGTTCGCCTCACGACCATTTCCACTCGTTTTTCAGTGCTAATCGCACCCGGGACCCTTAAATGTCTCATTATTATGATCGAATGTAACGAAACATTAGTCACTTTTAAATTCATAGAATGATAATAATAATAACGACTCTTCGTATCATGCTTTTTACTAATTACTTTGCATGAACAGCCGATCCAACCAAAGCGTTCATCTCTTCGTCAGCAACAGATAGCGGATAAATTGGCTGAACTCGTCCACTCAACCAAAACTGATCCGGTTCCGTGATTGGTACATCACCGCTCGCATCAACAATATTTAGTGATGTCTCAAAACAAACTTATTTATTTTCCGTTAAAAATTTCTGCTTAAAAATCACAAAAACCAAACGAACATAGTGCATTGTTAGTTTTGAAACTATCAAAGAAAATTTTACAGCTAGATTTTTGTCAAGAAGGAAATTCGTCTCGAAGTCGTCATCATCTTCACCCATCGGATTCAACAGAACTTCAGCAGCTTTCATCCAACCGACAAAAAAAACGAATTGAATAATCGTCATAAGTGGCACAATCATTTCAAACTGAAACGCACTTTTCGAGAACCATATCGATAAAGAATGGTTTTCAAGTTAAATATTAAATCGCTTATTATCACAAGCTTCTTCTTTCGTTTCTGGGCTCACGTCACGAAATCAATCAATGTGATTGGTCACTCATTTTTTTGAAGGATGAATAGCAAACAAATTCAGAACGAATAATGCACTTACATTGCCAGCGGTTGCACTGCCACTATCGCTCGATATGAATTGTCTCGAAACAAGACAAACGATGAAATAAAAATATACGGCTACCATAATGACCTGAATTTCGAATATTCAACCTCAATTTATATCTACCAAAACTACCATCATTCTGTTTTATATATTATCAACCTGTGGGTAAGTGAGCGGAATAGGTACCCAATCGTAATTGCACAACATCTGAAGATTTTGACGAAAGTTCTTCATTTCCTGTAAGGCATTCAGATCATTTCAGTCCCAATGGATGAACTATCAGGTAAATAGTAACGAGCCGATTTGTAAACAGTGATAAGGTTGTGGATAGTAGACAACCTTAAATGTCTTTTGAACCTTTAGTAATACCGATTGAAGTTGCTTGTGTTTTGATGAATTGTGTGATTTTCATTTTGAACCTTCTATTACGAAATTGATTGCCCACTTGATCGTTGTAAGAAAATGACTTTTCAAGCGACTAATCCAAATCAAAAGAATGCACATTCAAAATAAGAGATCTTTCCGATTACATCGCATAGTTTATTGGTCATCGCATCACTAGCTATTTTTTTGGCACGACGTGCTTCAAAGAACAGCGTATAAGACCAATTGATTGGTACCCAATATTTATCGTATTCCAGACTGATCGATTCCAATTTGGCTTCTTCGTGTTCTAACATGAAACCTGAACAGTTCATTTTAAACGAACGTAGTGCATACGGTAATTCAATTGTGTTGAGCATTATGAAATCAGATGGATAATGAAAAAATGAATATGATCCGAAGATATTATTGAGCGTGAAATGAATTGGAAACAAAAAAAAAGAACGCTTGGCAATAAACCAGCTTGAATAATGGACTGATTCGTCGGGAATCGTTTACGAACGCAAACTGAGATATCACGGTAGACGAGCAATTGCGACAGGCACATATATCGAACCATCGCACGACGCATCATTTTTGTTTGCTCATCATCACCTTGAACATAATTACCAATCAGAATCGCCTCACTGAAATGTTCTCGACGATTTATGTGAAAAGTTTAATAGTTTTTTGACGATAAGATACTGATTTTTGAAAGTATTATATTTATATGAACATTTATGTTCGTAACATTAAAAATAGACCTTTTTGCAATAATTCAACTTCGAATTAATGATAATCAAGTGATAACTGCAAAATTGTGCTTTCAAAATCGAAATGTTTGGAGATGGGACGAATGAGCTGTGTCTGACTGCATTTCAATTTCTTTCTCCAGATAAATAAAAATACCAATTCCGTAAAAATAAAATCAAAACGATGATTATTAAACGTCGTCATCAGTGATCAATGATCGAAAGGTTTACAAGAAAAAACGAATGAACAACGTACATACTTTTCAATATAACCCATATTTTTGAAAACAATATTCCAACGACGAAAGACGATGCTGACATAAAATCCGAGAATAAACGTTAATGGTATATGATTGAGATGATGATTCAGATAAACCGATAACTTCTCAAATGTTCTGTAATGAAACAATTTTAATTGTGTTCATTAAATATTCATTCGTAACACTTCTAATCAATATTCGTTCAAATTCTTTATGTATTCATTAGTGACTTTTCCATTCGGTTTTGTGAAAGCCGATTATATGTACGAATTTATTCAGTTAAGCACTGCTTGCTATTTGAATAACAATTACATCACAAGTGAATTGATTTCAGCTATTTGAACAAAAGTTTTGTCTGTTTGTTGCAAGCAAATCTTCTGAGACAATTTTAAAACAGCAATCATATCAAATTTACGAATCCAATTTTCTTCTTTCGAAAATTTTTCTTCAATAATGAATTTCAAATTGAATATCAAACAAAAATACATTATTGTTGAAAATGGCTACAATAAAATAAAAGGCTCAATCAAATGGATGCGATCAAGGGAATATGTTCTCTTTTCAGACTATTCGACGAGAATGCAACGGAAACATGGCGTATTTTTGAAATATTCCTAAAAGCAAATGGATTATGAATGAGTATTTGATCAGAGAGGTGAATAGTTAGATGTCTCTCGAGTTATAAACGCAGCTATTAAAAGCTTACATTCTTTGTGCGTCATTCATAATAAAATGTGATCGATAACAGAAGGCGATCATGAAATACATCGTGCACCAAACGAGCAATTCTTTGAAAATGTCCTTCCAGAAGCTCGCACGCCAGCGAAATAGAAGACGGAAAAATGAAAGTGCAGACGCATGTGTCACATCAAGTTGGTAAGAAATTGTCATTGCATTCGAAAAACAACAACGTTTTTTTCGTTCTTCAACAAAACCTGAATTTATTTTAATTTATGGATGAATGAAAAAGTTTACAAAATTATTCAGTAAATTCACGATTTAAGTTCTGAACTGCTGGAAATTGTTGTTCACTCATTAGCTATTCGAACTAATCAAGAAACGATCAAGAAATGAGACGGCAGTTCTGATCAACTAATTGATGTAACTTGTTAAATTGATCATGAAATCATTTTCAGAGAATATTTCGCAGGTTCTTAAAATGGATTCGACGTCAACCCGAAAAGCTCCATCATTTGAATGGATGAATAAATGATTCATAACCAGGTAAATGTACAACATAAAAGACAACGCGCTCTAATATCCTGCTGGATGAATTTGATTTTAAAAATCGATCGTATTTGTCATACGATTATTGTGCCCTCCCACCGTATGAACGCGTGAAATGAGTTACTCATGCAATAATTTATTCGAAGAAATTGTCGTGAAAAACGCTGTACTAATTGATAAGAGTTTATGGATGGTGAAGTGAGGAATACAAATGGATATTCAGGCTTTATAAAGAAACGCAAAAGGATAGCGAACGATCGAAGGACATTTCAATTCATAATAATTGCATTGTATATTCGTTTTTAAAACAAGCTTCTACATTGCTGTTGCATTGTCCAAAATATTTTACAAATTCACACCAACGAATACGATTCTTTTGCTGCATTCCTAACTTTTTCCAATAGATCAGTAAAGAGAAAAATTTTCCGCTTGTTTCATTCACGTGTCTAGAGTGTTACAGTCAGTCACCCAGAATCAGGTAAATCATTTCACAGACCATCATAAATGTTGTATCTGCTGGACAATATAACAAACAGACATTCGAATTCGGTTTCGAATGGAACCTATTTTGAGAGTTTATAATTAAAATAACCTGTGTACGATCGCATGAGCAGATATTTGTAACGGAAATCTATTAATAATTTCAGCTTTTTTTCACGACGGATAAAAACGCTCATTCATTAATTAACCAAACCGAATCACAACATCTGCTCTCTTTCATTAGCCAATTATGAAGCACATTATTTTGCAAATATTAACCAATAGATTAAAGTCATAAACTTCATTCTTTATTCACACACAACGATGAATGAAAAGAGCAAAACGAATAAAAAGTAGGTGAACGTATGAATCAATTTGCTATAAAACAACAAGTGCTCGTTGCTAGCATACTAAATATGGCTGAGCTAAAATGCATCGTAAAATATTATCATTACGAATATCAAATATTTTAATTGATTTTTACTTTGACTGATTAAAAAATGAAACATTCAATTCTAAGCGAGCTGAAATGTTTATGAACGAAAGGTACAGTAGTAATGCACTGTAAACAAATACTTTGATCGCATTATCAATATGTATTTAAACTGATAAACCCTCAGTAATACCTTAATCAGTTGTTATTTCCATTGAACATCAACAATTTTTGATAGGTAATGTTGAGTAAATGTGCACCTTAATAAAGTTTCACTGAATAAAATACAAGCAGCACATTCAAGACCTAAGTTAATTTTTCACCTATTAATTAACTTTCAATGATGGGTTAATCACGTAAAAAATGAAATTTTCATCAGCCAGATAGTCATCAACATGCAACAACATTCATCAAGAACATTTCGAAGCGCACATCCCCCTATCCTCCACGTTGAGGATGGCGATCCTCTGCTACTCCGTTAAATGATGAAGGGTAGCTGCATTTAATAACGATAAGCACAGGTGGTGTTTGCTAGGTGCAAAGGACCTCCCACAATGTTGCTTGTTTTCTCGCGTAGATAATTTTGAACATGAATGGCAGTTGCTGTGTGGAAGGTTACATAGAAGGAACGCAAGATTAAGTGGTCTTTCATATGCTTTTAACAGGTATTTCAAATGCGATTGAGGCCGAATCTAGTTGAGATTGCAAATGAATTTCACCTAACAAAAACACTTCTTGAAGAAGAAGAAGATACTTCTTCTTCTTACTTCTGAAAGTTATAGTAAAATGGGAAAATCAGTGAACAGAAGGACTGAAAAGTCCACATTTTGGTGAAGAAAAATATTCGGTCATATTGAATTGGTGAGAGCTGAGAAAATGACTGTCGACGTGGCTGAACAAAAATTCTAAATCCTAATCCAGTTCAATGAATTGGCAATTGATTTGAAAAAATAGTGGTTCATCACTGTTTCTTTTCAACTCACTCATAATCCAAATCATTTTAAGCAACATCTGAACTGATGATGTAAATGTAAACAGAACAGGTGACATCCGCTGCAAGCTTTTGTGCATTATTCATCGTTAAAGTGATCATATTTTTCAAACTTCTGGCCCGTAGTTTGAAATTGTCACCAACGATTTCAGTTCATATGACATTCGCAAACATTTCTTGCGTTATCGAAGTCAATATCGCGATTCATCAGTAAACTTCTGTACTTATATATGAATGAAATTAGAAGCCAAATTCTTCATCTTAAATTTGTTTGTATGTTTTCAATTTAACAATCAATTTCGACTGCAATGGTTTCACTGATGTGCTAAAAAAAAGAGAATGTTCACAGATAACCAATGACTTACTCAAGAAAAATATTGATGGGTGTTTATTCGTTTGAATTGCACATGCAGAAAGATAAAACAAACCTTGCTTGAAG